TCGGGTTGAACGAAAACATCAGTTGATTGAGGTCGAGTGTGAGCAGGTTTAACTGAACGCATAGCGTTTGTAAGCCTACTCGTGTAAGAGTTTAGATCCATGTTCAATGAAGAAGCTGAAGGATCCACGAATTCTCCTGGGAGTCGGAGTGTCGTTCCGTAAACGAGTTGAGATGCCGTGTATCCAATGTCAGCTTTCACTGCATTGCGGATACCTAGCAAGACGAGTGGAAGAGCGTCTGTCCACTGTGAAACGTTTGAAGCTGATAATGAGGCTTTTAGTTGTCGATGAAAACGTTCTACCAACCCGTTTGCTTGTGGGTGGTAGGCGGTCGTTCGGAAGCGCGTGATTCCTAAAAGTGTGGTCAGACAACGGAAAAGTCCAGATTCGAACTGGCGTCCGCGGTCTGTAGTGATGGTTGAAGGGCAGCCGAAATTTGCTACCCATCGTTCGACGAAAGTGCGAGCCACTGTTTCAGCAGTAATGTCCTTAATCGGTACTGCTTCTGGCCATCGAGTAAAACGGTCTACGCATGTTAGGAGATATGAGTATCCGTTCGAGTCGGGTAAGGGTCCTACCAAATCTAGATGGACGTGGTCGAAACGAGCGTCAGGGGTTTTGAAAGAACCTAAGGGACATTTGTTGTGTCTGATTACCTTAGATTTCTGACAGCTTACACAGGAGCGTGACCACTCCCTCACGTCTTTATTCATGCCAGGCCAACAAAAGCGTTCGGCTATAAGTTCGATTGTTGCACGAGCACCTGGATGAGAAAGATTGTGCAACGTATTGAAGACGTTGCGGCGATAGTGTTTTGGTACAATTGGACGATCCCTACCTGTAGATGTGTCACAGAGTAAGGTTTCCTTACCTGTTCCCATCTGCCTAATACTTAGTTTAAGAGTTGTCGAGGATAACTCATGCTGAAGATCAATGTCTTCTTTTTGAAGCTGAGCGAGTTTAAGAAGGTCGATTCCTTGGAAACTGTTCAAGGAGCTAATTCGAGACAAGGCGTCTGCGACTACATTGTTTGCTCCAGAAATATGTTGTATGTCTGAAGTAAACTGCGAAATGTAGTCGAGTTGTCGAGACTCTCGCGGTGAGTACTTGTCTGAAGATGAATTTAATGAGAAGGTAAGAGGTTTGTGATCGGTAAAGAGCGTGAATTCTCTTCCTTCGATGGAATGTTGGAAATGCCGTACAGCACAATACATAGCTAGGAGTTCCCTACCGAACGTGCTGTACCTAGATTCCGCGTCTAGCAACCGTCTCGAGAAAAATCCTAAAGGTTGCCACGAGTTGTTAACCCATTGTTGTAAGACTGCTCCGATTGCTGAGTCGGATGCGTCTACGGCGATACTAATGGGCGCTTGACTGTCCTGATGAGCAAGCAAGGTTGCTTTAGCGATGTGTTCCTTAACTGTGGAAAATGCTTTACGGGCTGTGTCGTCTAAACTAATTGATTTCGCATTTCCACGAAGCTGATCGGTCAACGGTTTCATTAGGGATGCGCATTTAGGTATGAACCGTCTATAGAAACTTACGAGTCCGTTAAAAGTTCGCAACTGCTTGATCGTGGTCGGTTCTGGGTAATCCAGAATGGCCGCCACTTTGCTCCTAAGGGGTCGGATGCCTTGGGCATCAATGGTGTGTCCTAAGAAGTCTAAGCAGTTAGTTCCGATTTGGCATTTCTGAATGTTGACAGTAATGCCATGCCTTTGAAGTCGATCGAAAACAATGTCCAGATGCTTGAGATGCGATTCTCTGTCCGGACTTGCTATTAGACAGTCATCAACATACGCATGTACGAAGTTGAGACCTCGGAAGACGTCGTCTATAAACCTTTGGAAGGTTTGAGCCGCGTTTCTTAAACCAAAAGGCATTCGTAGAAATTCGTAAAGACCGAAGGGAGTGATGATGGCGGTTTTAGGAATGTCGTCAGTTGCCATCGGGATTTGGTTATAAGCTTTAACCAAGTCGATTTTCGAAAAGACAGTTGTACCTTTCAAGGTAGCTGTCAAATCGTGAATATGAGGCAGCGGGTAACGATCGGGAATGGTTTTAGCATTCAGACGCCGATAATCACCAGTTGGCCGCCAATCATTGCTGTCCTTTTTAGGGACCATATGCAATGGGGATGCCCATGGACTATTCGATGGTCGAATTATTCCTAGGTCCATCATGTGGTTGAATTCGTTTTTAGCTAACCTAAGCTTTTCGGGAGCGAGTCTTCGGGCTTTCGAAAATACAGGTGGTCCTGTAGTCGAGATGTGATGTGTAACATTGCTGGTTACACAAGGTAATTTCGATTGCGATTGGTATATCCCAGGGTATTTGTCGAGTACTGCTTGGTACAAGGGGTCTATGGCGTGCTTAATCGTGACTGGGGATAACCTGCAACCAGAACAAGGAGTTACGCAAACGGACAACTTAGTGTTTCCGTCTATTAACCTTCGTGCGCGTGTGTCGATTAGTAGATTGTGGTGTTGTAACAGGTCAATACCAATGATTGGCATAGAGACATCTGCAACCACGAAAATCCAGTGTATGGGTTTACGTAAACCCACGTTAAGGTAGACGTACCTTTTACCGTAAGTAGCGATCGGTTTTCCGTTTGCCGCCTGTAAACTTAAAACAGACTCGCGAAGTCTGTCGTCGAGATTTGCTGGAAGAACGCTAACTTCTGCGCCAGTGTCGACGAGGTAGCGAACTTTCGTAGTCACATCCGTGACATATAAGAGGCGGCTGTGTTCGCCGGCTACGGTTGCCGTTAACGCGTGCCGGCTGGGAAGTTTCCCGAAATCTTATTCGTGTCACTCGATTTTGAAGTCGGATAATTGCAAGGTTTCCTGCAGTTTCTGGAAAACTTACCGTACTGGTTATGATACCAACACCAGTCGGGATTGTCTGTCTCTCGTGGTCGAGAGCCAGATCGCTTACGTGAGGCACTTCTACGCGGGGTTTTTGACCGACTACGGTCATTGCGAACTCTAAGATATCGTGTGAGCGTGTGACATAGTTCGGCCATGTCAGTCGAGGTCGATTGGGGTTTTTCTTTGACGGAAAAAACCTCGGCCTTAGAAGATCTAGTGATTTCCAAGATTCGATCGGCAGATGCAGCTAGTTCATCTATGGCATTGTTTTGAAATGAAACAAGCACTGCCTGCACCTGTTGAGGGAGTTTAGACAAGAAAAGTTGTCTAAATAGGCCATCATCGAAAGTTCGTTGGCCGATGACTTCTCTCATTCTAAGCAACATGTCCGTCGCAGAACCATGTTGCAAGTCGATATTGTTAAGGAGTTGATCTAACCGTTGTCGATCAGTTAGGTCTCCTCGTTTTAAAATCGATAGCTTAAGCGATTCGTAAGGTTCGGAAACATCACTAGTAAACATACTAGGTGTTACGTACCTGTTAAACTCGCGCGGTAACGCCTTAACTACCGCGAGGAAACGTGTGCGCGAGTCCGTGATTCCGTGCATGCAAAAATCGGCTTCTGCATAGCAGAACCAGGACTCGATATTGTCGGGCCAAAATGGCGTTAACTGAATCGAAATAGGGGGAATAGACTTGAACTTAAGAACCTTAGGAGAATGTTCCGTCATAGTAATATAGATATCGAAAAATGTCTAAGTAAAATATATCCGAGAAAAAAAAAATTATATCACAATATATAAAATTCAAATAAAGAATAACAATAAATAATAATATTCCAAAATGGAACAGACTCACAGTATATTGACTTGGTGTACCAGATCACGTCGGGTTCACCAATGATGATGCAACGGATATTCTAGTTTTACAACTAGATACCAGTAGCACCTTCTAAATTCGGTTGTTACCAGTCAGATAGAAATCAGAAGTCAAACGAGAAGAGGCAGGAAAGATATATTTGATTCGTTACCAATATATCGAGGACCTTTTCTATGAGCTGGCTAATGAAACGTAGGAGCTGTGTCCCACGCAGTATTGAAACGTGATCTGGTGCGGATGCATGACCGAAAGCCTTCAGCTAAACAAGTCCACTTAAACAACGTGGTCAGCATCCAATGTCGAACACTTAATGAGCTATTGATTTTGGGGAATTATTTACAGCTACAAACTGGTGCGCGTTGATCAACCTTGACCTTGATGGGGATCGATGATCTGTTCGATATTTAGTGACCCAACTAATTTGGCTAGGGTTCAGTGATATTTTACTGGCGCTACATGGTAAAATATAGAATTCTCAGCACAAAGTATTTCAGAGGGTTTCCGCTCATTATGTCTTGATCGATATCGACGACAAATATTGAGTGATCGCCAGTTAGATATAAACAATTCAAAAGTCAAATTCTGAATCATATCCATCCTTTTAAATGCATATTGCCAAACATCATAATGTCTCCGATTGTACATTTTAGTAACTTGTACAGCGAAACATCATCAATCTTTCACAAATGCACCTGAATGAGCTATGCAATTAATTGACATATTGATTTGTTGAAAGAAACAAGGGAACTGATAACTTGTTGGAATATCCAGATTTCAGGAACCGGTAGCCCAGATATTCAAACAGGCCGCCTTCAAGGTCAGCTTCAGTGCCAAAGATCCGCAGAGCTATTTTTCGGCAGTTTACGTGTCACTACAGATGTATTGTTGATTCGGAATGATCAAATGTTGTCTCCGTGATCCAAACATGAGGCATTTGTGTCGTTATTAAGAACAGTGACCATAACTTATGCATTCTAACTCCCAATCCTTTTTATAAAACGATCAGTTACTTTGGATTTTAAGTAAAGCCTCTTTAGTAGGTTAGGCACTAGTTACCCAGTAATTTGTATATTGTATTAACTCTTACATCAGCTTTTGTTCACCCCACAATCTATCAACCTCAGCATTACCGCAGACAGTTTCACAAGCTCTGACACTGAAGGGACAGTCATATCACATTATGTCTTACTTAAAACTTAAGCTGTATAGTTTTGCTAGTTTTAACAACAGTTTTGTTTTATTGTGTCAGTTTATTCACCGGAGTTGTGTAGCTTGGTTGGCGCCGTGGTTGCTTGTCTTTCCGTCGTTGCGAAGATGGACGGGACTGTTGTTGCATCGTATGAGTGTCTGACCTCCCCATTCCTCGGTATTGATGACTGTCGATCTTTCAATAAAGCGTCTGAGTGCAATGTATCACATATCAGTACAACTCCTGAATCCGGACTATTCATACCCGAAGACACAATTTCTAATGGAACCACTGACTCGTTCTACCCGAAAATCGATCAAAGTTTTGACGAAGAAGTAGAAATCACAGATATGGAAGAAATAAAAACCCCACGTATTGCTTCGCCGACATTGAACGAACTAAGAAAACGTTTAGCTAATGTCTCCCTCAATGCTAAAGTGACTCTGAATTCTCATATATCTGAATGTAGCAAAATAAACAATCAGTTTAATCAAAAGCTGTTATCAGAAGTTGCCTCAAAATCGTGCCTTTACTCTTTGGATAGGTTGTATGACGAATATATCCCGGGAAGATCGCGGATTTGTCCCCTGAAAGGTAAACTTGGACTTCCTAGCGACGTTAAGTTTGGAGATCAAAAATCCAGGATAAATTTACGTTCCATATCTTCTAAAAATACACTGCGTCTCCTAGAACGCATTCCTGTGTGTTCTCTTCCGAGCCCATTACTTCGTCAAACCTACTCATCATCGGGGAGTTTGATCTCAAACTTGACAGATTTATCGTTTAGCAGCGACGCTATTTTATCTATACCTTTGGCTGCTGGTTTACATGTTTCTGAAGCAGCGTCTAGCGCTATACTCTCCTCCAAAGGTGGGTCAGGTAAGAAAGTATCTCTTCTATTTTCTAAGCTTAAATTTAGCTCTCAATCAGATGGCAAAATCATCAATGAGATCGGTAAGTTTGTCATTCGAGTTAATTTGGCTATGATATAGTTACACTTGTACATACTAATTGTTTTAACTTCACTGGTAGGGCTTACTCTTTTTCTAAAGGTGATATTCGTCATATATTGATCATAGTCAATGTGCTATTGTAAACCACAATGCCCTAGAAAGTTATCAGTAGCAAGTATCTGTCGGACAACTTCAGGACCTAGTTCCTACAGCCCTGACAGGGCCGGAAACGTTGGCGTCTATATATTCAAAGTTCTTTATCCATAGCTCAACTCACCTACTGTCCGCAACTCTTATCTGTTGATATCTCTGTGCCAGTAAGTGCAATTAGATCCTCTCACTTTAGGTTCCTAAACAGTACGTGTTTTCTGACACTTGTTTTTGTTTAACGATTCAAGTGTTTAGCTCTACATAGTGTCATATCATGTGTATTTCTTTGGATTATAATCCTACTTGTAGTCTCGTACGCCATTTCTAGACGTTTCGAATCAGATTTTGACCGTAAAGGCACAATTTCAAGGGCCTTTGCTAGGTCTTCTGTATGGACTTATTTTCTAAATAATTGCTTGTTGATCTAACTAAAGAAGAAAGAGGACATCGCAATTCTAACACTTTTCGGTATCCTGTACACCATGAAACAGCTGCCCGCTATCCCACTGTCTGATCTATGTAGAAAGACTCAACTTTCGGTTCTCTTCATTGTATGGCAAACAAATTTTCTGGAATCGAACTTTTGGCGATTCTCAGATTCCTTTCTTAGAGACTGGTCGACTTTCAAGTAGCGACCGTGGTTTTATAAATCACAATGTTTTTTTATATCACTTGGTAAGGACTGATGACGGAGGTTTTTAGTTTCTGACCTTTTACTACTTACTGCCATATTTCGGTACAAATTTCGATCGGACATTCGAAACTATTTGGTAGTCCGCTCGAAATAAATTATAATTGGCAATAAATTTTGTAGCGTCCATTTCAACACACCGAGAAGCTGTTTATTTCTATCTTCATTTTGTCTCATTTCTCCTTGTGGATAAAACATGGGTTTCATAATAATGATTTCCCAAAATACACCTACCTTCATCGAAATACATATATTGAAAGCTGTACATTTATTATTAAGGATGATCTCGTTCTAATTAACTTTCATTTTAATTGCCCTACATATTTTTCTTATTCATGTACACCGTTGACCTATTTGCTTATTTTTTGTAGAGTGAGTCTCCCCAGTCCACTGATAAGACCTCATGTGAACCGGTTTCAAACGGTTTATCTGGTGAGAAGGAGGTTTCAAAGTCCTTTTACAATCCAAATCACGGTCTAAGTGAAAGTCAGAACTCTGATTCAAACATTTTGATACCAAATAGTCAAGTTTGTCCTGGTGAACAATGTTTCTCACCTCATACGCAGTCGTATATTTCAGGTTGTCTCAGAGAAAAACATCATACTCGAAGCAAACGATCAGAGAACAGAAAGTCCCTTGCTTCTAAAAAGGATGATCTATCATGTATCGAAGTTAAAACTCCCATGAATGACACTAATATGGTAAATGAAAATGTAAAACCTCAGTGCAGTGATTTGGTTGAGTTTGACCCATTTAATGAGCCCATATCAAAAATTGAATGTCGTTCATCTTCAAACACTCTTGAAAAAGTATCAGACAAAAGGGCATTACTCAGTGATTGTGATGACGATAAAGTGGCCACATCATTAACAACAAATATAAACACTCATCCAGATTCATGTGATATTTTGCTTCCTTCCAGTTCATTTCCAACTAGCTATATAAATGAAGAACCCTTAATTGTTGAAGAGGATTTCACTCCAGTGACCAACAAAAGGTTAAGACGCAAGCAACAACAAAATTCAAAGTTGGTTCAAAATAAAACTTGTAACTCTGAACAGTCATCTTGTGATCTTGGTCATAAAACACATAGTTATCTATCTACACAACTGGTCAATAATGTAAGTACTTTTCAGCAACACCATGTTACACATCGATTCAGTTCAAATTTATCCAGACGTTCTGTGCAGCGTAGTGGAATGTATTCGAATGTACATGAAAAGTCTCAGTCTTCCTCTGCTCGCTCAGCAACTGTTTTACCTCACCCTCAAGATGCCTCATCTAGAAAGTCCAGAAATGCAGATAATGTTTCTTCATCTGTGTCAAGTACTTTACACAATCCTAAACAAACATCTAATTCGTATTCTCATTCTGTAAATCGTGATCTAACTTCTCAGAAGTCTGTATATAGCAATCCATACCTAAATTCCTCTCTTCGATATTCTAAAGTGATAAAAAAGCCGTTTTCCAACAGTGCTCCTATTACTCCGTCTTCAAACGTTCAAGGAACTCAACCTGCAGTTAGTCCCGTCCAGTATCAAATGCTTAAGCAATTCATGATATCTGCATGGAAATCGTTTGCAAAATCTTGAACAATTATACAGTTATAGCTTAATTTCCTAGCTTTGTTTTAGTGCATGTGATAGGTCTATTTCTCTGGACACGCCTCGAAGTGTAAGCTCATTAACTTTTCGTAGGAAAAGTGCCTACACTCATCATTTCGTAGAATTTTGTTGTAGGTAGGAAATTAGTCTTAGTTGCTTATTTTTTTACGAAGTATTTCTAGTTTCCATCTCTCAGGTCTTACATGTGGTGAATATATCCTTCACTCCAAGTACAAATTAATATAGTTTGTAATACTGTGCCGATAACATTCTCTTCTTGGACTTCCAAGTTATCACGGGAGTGATTTTCAAAGTTGGTGATACCAAAAATCAAAAGTGTCAGTTCAGTGTTTCTTGTTGATTACCTGATTACTTTAAATATAGTTTCTGATGATATAATTTCTGTAGTTTTGTGATCACTCTCTTCCAGTTTACTTTTGACCATTTTCATGTCAGCAATACTGTCTTTCTTTTGTCAACTTTTGCATTTGTTTATTCCAGCTCATTATGTGTTGCAGATAGCTAACATATTCAACCGGGATGTCTTTTCTTACGTATGTGTAATTCATTTGATCTATTAAACTAGTTATTTTTTTGTAGTATACCCGGTATTCACCTATGTATTTTACTGTTCACTTTACCTCTTATTATTTTTCTATAGTATTATATTTCATTTTTACAATAGTTCATATTAGATTAGTATCCAGTTACATACTCCCAATGAAAGCATTTGTACCAATCTTTTTCTTGTTGACGAAATCACTTTTTTTAGGTATTAGAGTATTATTTGAAATATCACTGTGTTGTCTTATTTCTTTGTGGATATATGTGGATTGTATATAGTTAGGATATCTTAAATTATTCTCAAACTCTGGTATTTAAAAATCACTGATTCCATAAAACTAAGAATTAAAAAAGCGGTCATTAGTTATTTAAATATCTAAAGCGAAATTGCCACCAGGTCCCTAGTTTCATAGTATAATAGGATGTATTAACAATTTACCTCTTTTCAGTAAGCAGAAGGTAGGCGGCGATTCCTAAAAAAACTTTATGTAGGTGCACAACTTTCAAAGTTTTCTTATGAACCAAAACGGTCAGAATGTCACTTGATGTTTATTACAAGTCGTATGCTATCAATAAATCTGTAGTTACTGTGATCAGATAGTTTGGTGAAATTGGCTCTTCATGTGAACAATATTTGCAAGGCTGACGTTATATATACGGTTATTTTCATAGTATTTTTGTGAAACTCAGAAGACTCGCCTAGCAAACAAAATTTGCTATTGTGCAGAACAGTTCCTGATGTGATTTTACACATTTACTTCCTATGACTTCTTATTCCCAAGTAATCTGATATGTTAAATTAAACGTCGGGATATGGTTTGGTTTTACCGTACGAATCCGTTGTATTAAGGAGGACTGAAGTAATGCAGTTGTATTATTGGTTACAAGTCATGCAAACGATGACTACAGGTGAAACAATAAGGCAACTGAATGTAATGGTGAAGGGGCAAACTATGCTTAAAGCACATTCCTGTATTCTCACATGATATAAAGAAAAATCAGCGATAGCATTACACTCAGTAGAGTCGGGTCATACAAAAGATTTCAATGACACAAGAACACTTCGAAGGATTTGGATTCTTACGAAGAAAGACTAACAGCCGAAGTCATACACTCCCTTAAACTATAGGATTAAAATTGCTTCAAACCTGTCTTTCTTCCCGTACTATGTCCTTATATACGATCTTTCATATATAACCAGTAAATTAACTACTACGTATTCGGTGTTTGTCTTGTGCTAATGATGTGTGGCAACTTAGATCGATACATATATGTGCCTGGTCCTGCGTTGTAGCTGACTGACTGAAGCCCTACACATGGGCAAATTCAAATGGTATTGTTAGGTGGAATACACTTGCCTGTCCCATGGCAATGAATAAGTAAGCCCGAACTTATTCCATTCAGTCTATGGCTTATTATCTGGATAACAACGATTACATTCGATTGTCCTATCTGATATAATGAACAATTAGCTGAATAACAAACCCATTTCTTTATTTTTATCATCCTTATTTATCTTCGTTTTGTGCATGTTTGGACACCTATCAAAGGCTGTAAATAGCAAATGTAATTTCTCACATAGAATCTGTTATCTTAACACATATTTCATTTCACTCCAATATATATATATATACGTGCTCGCACTAGAGCATGATGTGAGTCTAAACATGTGCTCCAGAATGAGCGACAGTCTTCTATCGAGCCCCTCCATCGGTGGCTGATAGCGATGTGATCTAATTGGGTCTAACGTTGAGACGAATTCGGGGGTCGCTTTGTCAAAAGATGTTTTTCCTTATGCTTAAAGTTAGTATTTGCAAGAAATAGGCGGTTATCTGAGCACAGCTGCAACAGACGGTCGCCATTATCTGTCCTTTTAGCCACGACACCATAAGATCCACCAAGGTGTCTTTCACTTAGTTTGCCTACTTGAGCATTAAAGTCACCAACCACTATTACTACATCGGAACGCCTAGCTTTTCGGAGAAGGTCAGAAAGTTTCCTGTAAAACTCATCTTTTATATCGTCTGAGCTGCAGTCAGTGGGAGAGTAGGCAGAGGCAACGACGGGTTTCCCTATCTTTCCGGGTCCTTACTGATCCGTTTAGTCGAACAGCGCATAGACGACTGTCTACTGGGATCCAGTCTAAACGAGCTAGTTCTGCCCTACGACTTAATGCTATACCTACTCCAGCGAGGCCACAGGAAGCAGCATCAGGGCTTCCAGATACACGAAGCGTGTATCGAGATGGTTCTTTATTTTGATTAGGTGAGGTCAAATGAATGACCCTACTCGGATCTTGTATGCGCGTTTCGGTGACACAGCACACATCTATGGTGAAAGATTCTAGAGTCCTAGCTAAGGAAGCCTGTTGTCCTATTTGGCACAATGTTCGGACATTAAAAGTTCCTATATGTAGTTTAGAGCGTGGTTTCAGGAGACCAGGAATAACGTTCCGTGTACTTGAATCGTTTGCCCTAGCGGTGCGAGGTGATAAAAGGACGTGGGAAGGGTTAATTGTGGAGATAAGTGAGTTATTAGGAGTAGGAAGCATTTGAAAGTGACCAACTTGGTCTCGTGTGCTGTTACGGGTATGAGGGCTAATGTCACTTCCCGGCTGCCCACACCGTGGAAGGGTATTTCTAGAGAGACCTGAAAAAGAAGTCGGATTAGTGTTGGTCTGAACGACCTGGGAGCGTGACTGCAGTGCCCAAGGGACAACTGCTTGAGGCCTGTCACGCACGGCCTTTTTGTGGGGGATTTTTGACGTGTTAGCTCCGTTCTTCGAAGGACCTTACCGCCGGAGACGGAAATCCGTGGGATAAGGCAAGGTGTGCATTTTTAGGGTCGACCTTTTCTAACCCCACCCTTCCTTGTGGGAAGGCAGCATCGCTGTCATGCTGGTTGTCTAAAGAAAACACGTTACTGCCGTCACACCTGTGTACAGTCGGCAGTACGACTTCGGACCTTGGGATTGCTGCTTTTAGTCTCACCGCTCTTCAACCGACCTGTCTGGCATGGTAGGACCTTGAGGAACGATTGTTCCAGCCAGCATAGCTCGATTGCTTTGAGGATACCACGGATATTCTAGTTTGGCAACTAGCAACCAGTAGTATCTTCTATAATCGTTCTTTCCCAGTCGAATAGAAACCAGAAGTCAGATGATGAGAGGTAGGAAAGATATATTTGACGCGTTACCAATATATCGAGGAACCTTTACTATAAGCTGGCTAATGAACGTAGGAGCTGTGTCCCACGCCGTGTTGAAACGTGATCTGGTACCGAAAGCCTTCAGTTAAACAAGTCCACTTAAACAACATGGTCAGCATCCAATGTCGAACACTTAATGAACTATTAATTTTGGGGAATTATTTACAGCTACAGCTTCATCACGATAGGCAAGCCCAACCACCACGTCAAAGTAGCAGCAACGGTCGGGATATATATATATATATATATATATATATATATATATAATACAATTTCTTCGCTTTATCCGTTACCACTATAATGTTGTGCAAATTTCCTTTGCCAAAAATATTCACTCTGTGCATAATAGCTACCTGGGTTTATAAGAGCAGAAGTCGGAGAAGCTGCGCTTTTCAAGACATCAATGGCTGTTTATATTATCACTAAAATTATTAAATAGTATATATGTAATCCTGCAATCGTAGATAAATCCAGAATAATAGTGTAAGTGTTTCTTGTCATAGATAAAGGATTTATTCGCTTAAAGTGCTATCTTATAAAAATGCACAATTTAACTCTGTGATCAAGCTCTTTTATGATTTTTTTTCAGTGACCCATTCACCAGGTACTTGGGTATAAGCTACACTCTAAATCTGAAAGCTAATAAAACCACCCGGTGGCTCAAATCAAAGTAGGTGGGGAGGAGTCCAAGCCTGGGACTTAGTCTCTGAAAATAAAGACAATAGGCTGAGATAAAATTGTCAGATTAAATACAGTGATACCAGTCATGTTATATTAATATTAATTGTAGAAAACTTTTATTTAATAAATTTAACTCTGAACAGTTTTCTAGAATGATTTTATCGGCATCAATTCACCTTGAATTGAATATAAGACTATTAGGAAATAACTTTATATAATGATGCATATATTGCGAGAAATAGATATCGTTCCCCGTGCAAATCAGCAAATACATCTTTACAGACAGTGATCATCAAACCCTGGGTCTATTATTCATGGTATTTAGCCTTATTCTTTACTTACGCCTGTTACCCCCAATGGAGCATAGGCCGCCGACCAGCATTCTCCAACCCACTCTGTCCTGGACCTTCCTTTCTAGTTCTATCCCATTGTTGTTCATTCTTCTCATATCTGTCTCCATTTCTCGGCGTAATGTGTTTTTTGGTCTTCCTCTTCTCATTTAGCCCTCAGGATTCAAGTGACAGCTTGCCTTGTGGCGCAGCTGAGTGCTTTCCTCAATTTGTGTCCTATCCACTTCCTGAGCTTCTTCCCGATTTCCTTCTCCTATGGGATCTGGTTTGTTCTCTCTCACAGTAGCTTGTTGCTGATAGTGTCTGGCCATCGGATCCGAAGTATCTTGCGTAGACAACTGTTAATAGACACTTGTATCTTCTGGATGATGGCTTTCGTAGTTCTCCAGGTTTCCGCCCCATACAGTAGAACTGTCTTCACATTTGTATTGAAAATTGTGACTTTTGTGTTGGTTGACAGTTGTTTTTAGTTCCAAATGTTCTTCAGTTGTAGATATGCTGCTCTTTCTTTGCTGATCCACCGTGCTCAGTAATGATACTACTCAGATATTTAAAGCTTTTTATATCTTCAAAAGCTTCTCCATCAAGTGTGATTCGATTGATGGATGTTGTGTTGTATCGGAGAATCTTGCTTTTCCCATTGTGTATGTTGAGACCTACTGCTGCTACACTGGTCATCTCCTGCATTTTTGTTGCGTGTGTGATAAAAGATCCAGATCGTCTGCGAAGTCTAAATCGTCCAGCTGCATATTAGCTGCCCATTATATCCCGTGCTTCCCTCCAGATGTTGATGTCTTCATAATCCATTCGATCACCAGGAGAAAGGGAAAGGGTGAGAGTAAGTAACCCTACCTGACACTAGTATTTACGTCGAACGAGTCTATCAACTGTCCTCCATGCACGATTTTGCAGTTTAATCCATCCTGTCCACACTATCAAATGCTTTCTCGTAGTCAATGAAATTGATGTTGAGTGATGAATTCCATTCAATTGATTGTTCTACAATGATCCGTAGTGTTGCGATTTTGTCAGTACACGATAGATCCTTATGGAATCCAGCCTGTTGGTCTCGAAATTT